AGACGGGAGATCTGCGTTCGATGACACCGTCCCCTGGCTCGTCATCGCGGATCGTTTTTTGTAATCTGCCTCGGGGATTTTAGGGGGCCCTTGCAGGCTTCGAAACATTCTTCCAGATTGGTAGATAGGCGGGTGCTGGAGCCCCGCTTTCGTGCCTTGCTGAAGAAGTGCCTTTTCCCTAGCTTTTCGTTCGGGCTGATGGATGGATACCCTAAGGGGTTTCTTCATGGTTCCGTGAGACTCCTTCGGCTCTGGAGAAACCCGATATGCGCTCGGCTGCGTCGGAGACGCGTCCTCGTATGGAGCGGATGGAGCAACTGCTGTAGTCGGCTTTTTGGCTGCGATATCTAAGGATTTGCCGTCAGGAGCGACGTTCTCTTGGCCTGTAAAAACATCTATCTGAGACAGTTTTCGAAGGCCTCTAGGATCCGAGGATTCGGTCGGCGGCTCAGGTTGCTGTCTCAACGTTTTAAGACGGGCTTCCGCCCTAGGTGGTATTGGAGGTTTTTTCCGTTCCGGGCTGCGACTTGATTTCTTGGGGCCCTTACTCCGTGGACTCGGAGGCTCTACCTCTTCAACGGGTGGGAGAGTCTCTCGCGGTTTCCGATAGGTCGACGGACGCTGCGCAGTGTCGCCATGCCATGTTTTGGCACGAACATCTCGAGTATCCTGGCTATCTTCGCGATGGTTAGCAAGAAGACACACGAACGGCAGATCAAACTTACACCATCCTTTCAGACCTTCCGTGCTCTGGGGATATACTGGTTGCCACTTTGACAATATCTTGTTTGGCGTGTCGATAGTTGTGGGCGTTGGGAGAGGAGGCGCTCGACTCGCAGGCATGTCTACTGATTGGTCCCTTGTGTTCGGAAAGCAAGGAAGATTGCAGCAATTGGATCTGTCCTTTTTTGCTGGCACTTCATCGATAAAAGCAAGTTGCCAGGCCTCCGGTTGAGTGAAAGTAACTTGTGTCCCCGAACTTGAGGAAGTGGTAGAACTATCCGAAGGGCTCCTTAAGCCATTAAGCTGATGGTGGCCTGGTTCGCATTTGCGTTGCGGCTGCTTGGTGTGACTTTCCGTCGGCGTTAAGAGTTTATCATCTGATACTGCGACCAACTGTCCTTCCTTTACCGGAACCGTCTTTGGCGGCGACCTTTGCAGCTGTTGTGCAGATGTTACTGCCAGACCGGCGGCCTGGAACTGGTCCTCATACGGAAGAAGTGCCGTCACTGTGTGAAGCGACACCACAGACTCTGGCGTCGGGGTAGAGACAGGCAGGTTTCCGGCAGCCTCTCTACGCTCAACATAAAGTTCAAGTTGTCGGGCGAAACGATCCACTTCTCGGCGGCGACTTGAAGTCCGCGATGGTGGCTGGGGTGCTTCCAAGGATCGATTTATTGTCCTTTTGGACGGTGATGCAAAGATAGACACCTGGCTCTGCTGCGAAAGACTCCGGCGAACAGCCTCCTACAGCTGCGGATCAGCGACACCGAACCTTTTCTCGTGGGAAGACACCAATTCGCGGCGGTGGAAAGGGTGAGCAGGCTCCGGCGTGGCCATGGCAGGTGATTCCGGATGTTCAGATGGACTAGAAATGGGCGGTGTCTGACGGCGGGCCTGAGGACGAGCGACTTTAGATCGGACCGGAGACCCTAAAGAATTGACAATGGGCCGGGCATAAACATTCCGAGACCCTGTCAGTCGACTGGGCCTAGCGAAGTCGGGCTGGTGATGGACCAAGGCGCCCTGTGGATTGGGTAAACCGGAATTGGCCTTATCGGACTCTTTCATTGCAACGTACCACCCAGGAGGTGTTTTTCGGATTGACTGCCTGTTTGGCCGTCGATGATTCGGCCTTAGGGGCAGGAGAGCATCCGATGCCACCAGCCTGCGAAGTCTTTCCACCTCTCGTCCTTGCGCGATGGAAGTCGCAAGAGAGGCTGAAAAGGGTGTGTTCGCTCTCTTGGCAGAGACAGTTGTTGTCTGGGAACGGGAAATCTTGCCCGAAGGAAGCCTTGCTTTACTAAGTTGCTTCGTATAGACAGCCTTGCGTTGCTGGCGGCGAAGATTCTCCACAGAGGGGCTTATTGGGTTGCGGAAGACGTCCTCTGCTGCTTTGTGGGCAAGGTGCGGTGCGGGATTAGGAACGGGTGGTGAACAAGACGAAATACAATTACAGTCTCGGAAGACTCTGTCGCAATCAAGCATCGTCCATGCTCAATCGACTGGGATATATCAAAGCTGAATCCAAAGAAGAATTTGTGATGGTATCATGTGGTCTAGTTAGGTAACAAAACGTGGCTTAGGAGAGATATGTGGTGATACAACAGAGAGGAAGCGTCGACGCTATCGACTGCGCCTGGGATGGATGGCCGGCCTGGTTTCCTGCCGAGGACGCGGCTTCCCAGAAATGCGGGAGGACGTAACCAACATCATGATAACCAAGTTGCGGTTTCCTCATCGACTAACATCCTTGATGCTGGGCGAAGAGTACGTCTCGAGCTGGCGACGACCTTTCCGTAGCAAGTGCTCTACGACGGAGAAGTCGCGCTTGTCGACGGTGATGTACTTGTCAAACTCGGTCCTGGTGATTGTTCAGTATGCTTTTCTGCGTAAAAACTGCAGCCATGCGCAAGCTTGCCTGACATATGTTTGAAAGTGAGGTTGCGCATTCTACATCAACGTTAGCTATCAAGTGCGAGTTGCTACCTAGGTAGATTGAGGCATCCCTCTCACCTCTGGCTTCTTGCGGATTTCCCGAAGGCATTGTCTGTACAGAGACAAAACCTCCCGTTGGAGGCCAGAAAGCCCGCGTCTTGCTAAGGCCATTTTCAGCGTCAAATCAGCGGGAATTTAAAGGAAGGCAGGGGGTCCTTTGATGGTTCATCGAAGAAATCGTATCCAACTCAGCAAGCTCGAGTCGTTGATGTCAGTCAGGGAAGAGCTCCATTTCTCAGGCCCTGGGAAGGTGGGGGCATATCTTGGGCAAGCGGATGACTCAGCAATCAGAGTGCCGACCCATTAGCCGGGAACAGCTGCCGATGGTTTTAGTGATGCACCATGCTCTCAAGCGGCACATCTACCGCCGACGGGTTGGCACCTAATAAATAGCGGGCACCTCACTATCTAGGTACATTTAAATACGCACCTTAGGGGCAAGAAGACGTGGGGTTTCAACATCGTCTACGGCATGCTTCCCGATATTCATCTCATTCCATCACAGCAACCTCCCATCGACTGTTGAACATTGTGCTTATTGTCTTTTTTTTTGTCATCCCCCCCCATTCATCATTGAGCTTTGCTGTGATCAATCGTCAAGATGCCTTCCTTCTCGGTGAGTTGGCCATGTTTGTAGGTGTCCACTTAACCCTCCTATTGACGCCATTACTAGAGACTCGTTCGCTTCCTCGCTCGGGATGGCAAGACATACTATGGCGATGCCATCCTCCCCAGCGGCGTCACTGATGTCGCAAAGGCGAGACAGGCTCGTATTGTGACGGGTGACATCTTTGGGAGACACGACGTCACGGAAAACGTCGCCGACATTCGGCTGTTGCTTGCCCCCCTGGCTCCCGAGCATGTCAGGACTGTGCGATGTCTGGGTCTCAACTATGCGAACCACGCAAAGGAGGTCAGCCCGCGTCTTGTAGAAAACCACCCCATCAGGCTGATAGCTGATTGTTTGCAGTCGAACATGGCCATCCCCAAGTTTCCCGTCCTCTTCGTAGGTCCTTATCGTCCCACGTGGCGCGCTGCAGCAGACTGACCCAAGGCAGTACAAACCGGCAACCTCCCTCGCCGGACCAACTGACCCAATTCCCGTGCATCCGGTCGCGCAGACCGGCAGCACCTTGGACTACGAATGTGAGCTGGTCGTCGTTATCGGCAAGACCGCCACCGACGTGTCCGAGGATGAGGCCCTTGACTACGTCCTCGGCTACGCCGTTGGCAACGACGTGTCGCACCGCGAGTGGCAGCTCCAGCGTGGCGGGGGTCAATGGTCGCTGGGGAAGGGATTCGACGGCTGGGCGCCATTCGGCCCCGGCATCGTGACCAGTAAGGTTGTCAAGGATCCGCAAAATCTAAAGATCTTTACCAAAGTCAACGGAGAGACCGTTCAGGTGAGTGACACGCCGTAATTATAGATTAGGAGAGGAACATTGACGTCTGGCAGAGCAACAACACCAAAGACATGATATTCAACATCAAGAAGATGATTTCTTTTCTGAGCCAGGGTACTACCCTGCTGCCCGGGGACGTCATCTTTACGGGAACGTCAGTATAACTATGGAAACCACCACTTGATTTCATTTGCTAACAGAAGGCATAGCCCCGAGGGCGTGGGCATGGGCCGTAAACCCCAACTGTGGCTAAGGGATGGAGACGTTGTCGAAGTTGGCCTTGAGAATGTAGGCTCCTGCAACAACAAGGTGGAGTTCACGAAGCTTAAGTCAAAAATCTAAGGGGCTACCATATCGTGCGTGAATAGCGTTGTTCCTTTGACGCGCTGAAATTGATATTATTCTTCTTGGCCGGCCGCAGCTAGGTGGATGGCGAATTTAGGCTGCATTTGAATCATCATTTGTCTCCATTCAGCTTCATGCCGTTGGTTCGCTTGTTCGTAGAGCATACAATATAATGTTTGCCAATGGACTGACTGCTTGTTGGGTCGGGCGGGTGGCCGATGAGCCTTGGCCGCACATCCAACCAGGGTTTCATTCCTACACACCGCAGAAAGAAGACAACTTGAGCTCTCTCGGCCGCTTCAGACATATGCTATTCGTTAATGAGCGGCGGTGTTGGTCGGATCGCGATTTTGACTAATAAAAGCATACAGTAAGGAGAGGACCGACCTTCCCGGAAACCGAGCTTTGTTCCATTTTGTTCCAAAAGAAACAAACAAGCCGCAGCTGAACCAACCTCTCTGATAAGGGAGGAAAGAAACCAACGGACAAAAATACAACATATGGAGAAATCCTCGTTTTGAGGAAAAACTATGCTGCAACCATCGGGACTCGAACCCGAGTCCCCAGCTCTCTAATTCAATGGAAGGCTGGGATGATAACCCCTACACTATGGTTGCATGTTTTCGCGCCTGGATGCCAGGCTTGTTGTTATTGGCCCAGATTTGAAAACATATGTAGAATGGTCTGGTAGGGCGCAATTTGGTTGTCCGTAGCTCCAGTGGGGCAAGATCGTGTCTGTCTAGCCCAAAGGAGTCAAGTCGGTCTACCAAGATGGCTACGTAGAAAGTCACAATCAGAAAAGACATCGAAGATCATGTCTCCTTACCGGGGGTTCAGCCTTTTCCTGACACCTACACTCCCATTTACTCAGTTGCGGAAGTCAGCCACGATTGCACGACACGGTAGAGGCTGTACAACTTCGCATCATATGGCCGACGATCGTGTCAGTAGAGCGGTGCTTTTTTGGAATGCCCCGCTGCGGCTAATGTTGTGTGGCACATTCGGTGGCCAAAAGCAAAAGTTGGTCAGCCTGCACTGCCCACGCGCTAATCTAACAGCCGACACTGCCCCCGACAGCCACTGCTGCCCATACCGGTACCGCTAACCAAGACCGGGTTAGCTGGTGCCTCGTGAGTGGTGCAGTCTGCCTTGGATATTGGCTCGACCCAGTGATTCACTGGTACATACCAATTGTGCACTGATGCCTCTTCGGGATCTCGCAATGCTGCTGTCGAAATGCTCTTCTATGGACCAGCCAGGGCAGACTCAGCCGGAGGTCAGCCGGAGGTCAGCCGGAGGTCAGACTGCCTCGTTGAATGCCATGAGGCTCAGAAGCGTTACCAGTTTCCTGGGCTTCTTGGCTAGCGGCCTGTTCGGTTCATACACTTCTAGTTTCTGGCGAGGTGGAAAGTCTATATTTCGCTCTCCCCGGCTTGCTGTCGGGCATCAGGGTAGATGGCCTCATCTTCACAAGCTGGTCGTGGACAGTGACTAAGATTACCCCCCCCCCTTTTACGACGTGGAGATATATATCCCTCTTTCTCTTGTCTTTTGTATTACTTTCCCCCCACATGTCTAGCACTATTACAGGTATAGTCAGGATGGAAACTGCATCGGTTGTGCCCTCCCGCCTGGAGGATCATGTTGGGTTCTACAATGATCCTCTTGTGATTCCATATGGCTTCGAGGACGAGTTCAGGCCCTTAGAGATCAGTCAGGAACGCAAAGAGAAATCTCCCACTGACGAACGCAAGCCCGAAGCGGCGACGATCGAGGCGGAGGGTGGTAGTGACTGGTCAAGGTACAGTCCGCCAGCCGCTCTCAAAACAGCGCCCAATGTCAAAGACGCTGTTCTACTTAAGATTTTGCAGATCTCTATCGAGAACGTCCAAGAAAAGGCCGCAGAAGAAGATCAAGCATGGCGGCTGGAAGAAGAAGCGAGGCAGCGAGAAGGGGAAGCGAATATGGTTTTAGGGGCCAGCAGCAAGGAAGCGGAACCATATCTCCCTATCATCATCACAACCGAAGATGACATGTCTTCAGAAACTCAATCAAACGACAATCAGGAGAACATTAAACTATTTCCGGAGCTGGTGGGAAATCGCGACGGCTCATCGGCCACTGGATTCGTTGTATTTCCATTTCAACCCAAGAAGAAAAGCCGGTTTGCCTTGACCAGAGTCCTACAAAAGATCAGCGAAAAGGAAGGGAAAAGGAGACCTTTCAGATTCGTTTCCAATATGAGTAAGACGAGCATAGAAGGCCCGCCGGATGTCAACTCCACGAAGACCATTCCTAGGAAGATTGCCACTGTGTAAGTCATTCGTACGTAATAGTGCCCTCATACTAACAGGATGCTCTAGCGAGTGCGTATCATGTCTTAACGAATTTGATAAGAAGGAGATGGTCAAAGTCATCTGTCACAGCTACTGCCGCGACTGTTTCGAGAGGCTCGTTGCGACAGCGGTCCAGAATGAGCAACAATGGCCGCCCAAGTGCTGCCTCAACGAGATCCCTTTTCGCACTATCCTGCGCTACGCCCCCAAGGATCTGTGTAAGACATACAAAGACCGTGCCACCGAGTGGAAGCTTCCCGTTAGCGAGCGTATATACTGCAACCAGCCAGACTGCAGTCTCTGGATCAGACCTGACCACGTAAACCCGGGCCTCAGCATAGCGCGCTGTGCGAACGCACACTGGACCTGCACTATCTGTCGCGGCCCTCAACACGATAACTCTGATTGCCCGCAAGACCGCGACTTGGCACTAACCAATGCCCTGGCCGAGGAGGAGGGGTGGCAGCACTGCTCACAGTGCCAGGCGCTGGTCGAGCACCTGGAGGCGTGTCAGCACATGACTTGCCGGTGTGGATATCAGTTCTGCTACGTCTGCAACCAGAGATGGAGAACATGTACCTGTACCATGGACCAGCTGAATGCTGTCAAGGCTGGGGCTACAACAAGACGGGAGGAGAGACTTCGAAGGGAAGAAGAGGCCGAATTCGAGCTTCGAGACGCTTTACGGCAGATTGAGGAGTTTGAGCGTGAAGAAGCGCTGAAGGCTGAGCTATTGAGGCAGGAGACGGAGAGACGAGAAGAGGAGCGGCGACAGCGCGAGCTAGAAGAGCGTGTCCGCCTTGAGAGCCTCCGACGTCACGAAATCGAGGTCAAGTATCAGGACCTCCGGGCAATACTCGACCAGATTCATGACCTGCAAGAAGTCCTTGTACGATACCAGCACGACAAAGAAAAGGAACTTGCGTCCCATGAGGCATTTACCTCCACAACCGAACTCGAGGAAAAGCAACGAGCAGAGCATCTTGAACTTGGAGATACGGCCTCGAGGAAACTGGCCGCCAAGGAAAAGGCCCTCGCAACCGAGTATAGCCTCCGTGTGTTGGATGAGAAGAAGACGGAAGACGCCTACCTGGGGCTCCTCGAAGAGTTCTTTGCCAACAAGCCGACGAGCGAAGCGCGTGTCGAGGAGCTCATGCAGGAGTTCCTCAAAAAGATGGATAAGGGGTGGCGGGCGTGGGGAAGATGGAGAAACGAGGAGACTGCACGGTTCAAGATGAAGATTGAAGAGGAGCGGGCCATTCGCGAGGAAGTCATGTATAGCGTGAAGATCAGACATAAAGAGCACATAGAGAGCGAGCGGAGGCAGCTTGGGAAGAAGCAGGTGGCTGAGTTGCGGTGGTTGACGCTGGTTGTTGCGGAGAGGGAGAGACTGTTGGCTCAGATGGAGACTACGGAGATAGAGGAGGGAATTGATGGCTTTAGTGTAAATAGAAGCGAGGGAGAGGAGGTGGATGAAGTTACCGCCGGGCCTAGTTGACGGTGGACTAGTGGCCTGGTCTATCTGGTCCTGGCCATTATTGCCATGGTTGTCAGATCCTGGCTTGAGGGCTAGGCTTAGTTGCACAATGTAAGCATGATCAAGCCGCAAGCCGTTTCCAACAATAACTATATGAATATCCCAGTTCACTTCAGGGTAGCGAACTTTTGTCAATATCTCCAACTAGGGGCACAAGTCTTTTTCTCGCTTGAGGGCTTTGAAACATCAACTGTGGGCAAGAAGAGGCTCTTATTGTATTAGCTCAGTCTTGGTTCAAACTGGCAGTATTTGTTAACGGGTATTTGTGAATCCTGTTCCGGGTGCAAGAATTACCACGACACAAATAAAGCTCAAAGCATCAGCCGGATTAAATGGTCTGCACAAAACTTGTCACATGTTGTTGGAACTGCGCTATAATATAGAGGGAATTCTGATTCTAGATGATGGTCTTTGTTGAGTTTCGACAATGAACCTATCTTATTAGAGTCCCGCCTCCGGCCTGAAAAAAGGACATCGCAACGGGAAACGGGCCGGACGATTCAACTTGTTGCATCGTGTATCAAAGCTCTCGGCACCAAAGATAGCAAACTCATTATCCTGCTTCACACGACCTGGGAGCTCCTGTCTCTCTCTAGCTTGACAGAGGGCCTTTTATCCATAATGTGGCTATGTAAAGTCAATAGAATGGAATAGTACCTGCCTGCGAGTTCAATAGCATCCGCACCGAGTTGAAACCGAAAGCATCAAGGCAGAGAAGGACACGATGAGGTGGCCTGGATACACGCAACGTTGACAAACATGTGTTGTTTTCATTTTTCTGCCTGTTCTATCTCGCTTTTCTTGTCTTTCATCACTCATCCTTCTGGCATATACTCACGGTGCTCATACATAACCTCCTCTGTACCCCATCTTTCCACTACCTACCGCATACCCCTTATCATCACCGCCCTCAGAGTGCTCTAATAAAGTCCGTCTGGCAATCTTCGACTTTTCAGAGGCAAAAGCATCGGGTTTAATTCCCTGACCATTCGCTGGTTGCCCAGAACCCGACGCCTACGACTAGTCGAAAAACGCATTCGGGATGGCTGATGAGAATCGTACCGCCGGCAGTTATGTTCAGGCAGGGCACGCCCGTTGGATTGACCAGCAGAAGGCGCGAGACTTCAAATTCATCCTAGATGTGTGCTGTTGGTTTGACCTCGCTTTCGTTTTCACTGTTCTTCAGCTCGCTTTCTTCGTCGCATTCGCTCTCATGCCACCCCCAGAAGGCCATGCTCTCGAGGATTGGCTTAGCCTCGTTCGCGGATTACGCACCACGGCCGTCTTATCCTACGAACTGCCTTTCATTTTTCGAAAGACGCGGTGGATTTCCATCTGTCGCCGACACCGTCTTCCAAGTAATATGTCCGACTTCGGATCGACAATGAGCTTGGTTGAACAGCTCATCCTAATCGGAACCATCGAGCCCCAGGTGATTCAGCTATGGCACGCTCATCAACTAGAGGAGCCCCTGCTTGGTCAGAGCACGGGGGTCTTGCTGACAGCGTTTGTTGTCGCCACGGCAATTTTCGCGGTGCGGAAAATGGTTGTCCGCTTCGTCTTTCTCGTCGATCTTGCAGTCTACCTCAAGTGGAAACAGCAACAACCAACGTTGGCCAACCCGAGAGATACGGCATCATGGCACGACTAGGAACAGAAATACCCAAGCATACAGCAAGAAGGCAGGAGACAGAGATCCCATGGCAAGACATAGGCTGAAACAGATCGTTAAGGCAATTCCCGC